CCCACCCGTCTGTCCATCCGTCCATCCATCCATCCATCCACCCACCCACCCGTCCGTTTGTCTGTCCATCCATCCGTCCATCCATCCATCCGTCTGTCCATCCCTCTTTTATGTGTTATTCGATTACTGTTTCTCCCTTGCTTTTCTATCCTCCATCCTGGAAGACTAGAAGATAGAATGAAAGCTCTCTCGTCCATTAAGGCCAGTCTCCTCTTTATGGCTCATGCTCACTGCTGTCTGAGCACCATTGCCACCCCTCCCCCCCCCCAATTTGCCAGCTATCCATCCTTTTCTAGGGCTCCGCAGCTCTCTGTCTAGTCCTGGAGCCTGTCGCTCAAAAACACGCTCAGTGCTTAGGTCCTAGAGGGAAAATCCAGAACTGCCCTCTGCCCCGGTGGGCTGTGGCCAACTCACACGTGACAAACACCCTCTTGCAGTGGGCTTTTTTCTCTTGCAGCTGGTGGCACTGGGACAGCTTCTCCTCGGGACAGGAGAAGCCGCGGGAGGTCTTCTCGGCAGCATCCAGCACCCGGTAGGAGTTGACTTTGCCGCACTGCTGTTCCTGGCACACCTCCTCCCACCGTGCTGTGCCCTTGGCCCGGGGCACGTCGCATAGGATGTCCCACCGCTTGCCCTGGCGCACCTCCACGGAGCCTTCACACAAGCTGCTGCCCCCCACCAGGCGGCTCTGCACCTTGGGCTGGAAATCTGGAGAGGGGAAGCAATGGAGGGCAGATGGCGGGTTTGGAGGGAGCTTCCTTGGCCCCTAGCCTACATGCCTGGCCACTGGGGCCCCGTGTCTCTGGCCAAGGGGGGGCCCTGGCAGAGCCCAGCTTGTTGGGGGGGCGCTGGGATCACCTTCCTTTCTGTCCTTCCCTCCTTCTGGCATCTTCTGGCATTTCCCTCATCACGCTCTTGCCCTGGCATGTGTGGGCAGCTGCTGGGAGCTATCCTGAGATGTGACACCATGGGCGCTTTCAGAGGAGCAGCTGCAGAGTGGCAATGCCCGATGCCTGGGGCCCCCAGGCAGGTGAGGGTAAAGAGAAGAGCAATGAGAAACAGGCTCTCCCTGGGTCCACGTCCCTCTGAGAACCATCCTCTCCTTCACCTGCTGCTCCTTGAGAGGTGGGAGGGCTTTTCAGAAAGGAGAAACTGAGGCCTGGGGATGGGAAACACTTCCTGCTCTGGGTCCTGGCAGTTCAGGGGTGAGACAAGACCCAGCAATCCTGCTGCCCAGCCTCAAGGGGTGGGCTTTCATGAAAGGACTGAGTCCATTTCTGCTCGTCAGGGTGGGGCCTGGGCTCCAGGCTGAGGCCCACCTGGGCTCAGGTTAGAGTGAGCTGTGGTCTCACCAGCTTGGCCTGTTTCCATAGCAACATCCATCTAAAAGGCCCTAGGAAATTTTCTACTTAGAACAGAATTTCAAAGGCAAGCCCTCCCTGCCTGGTTTTGCAGGTTGTAGACTGCGGGAGGGCAGTGGTGGGTGGGGCTGAGAGCCAGACCATCTCCCCTTATCAGGCCCGGAAACCCTGGGGGCTGCTTCTACCTGGAGGGGGTCGTGTCTGACTAATTCACACCAGGTACCCATGGGGCTGGGGGGTGGCTGGGGGGTGGGGAGGGAAGGGGGCGGGGGCGGGTGTACTTGCGGGATAGCCCAGTGGTCCAGAGCAAGGCTTCCCAGATGTGTGCACACACACCCATAGGACCTTGCTGAGACGCAGATCGGATTCAGTAGGTCTGGGGTGATGCCTGCACATCTGCATTTCTAACCAGCCTGATGTAGCTGGTGCCGCTGGTCCAGGACCATGCTTCTGGTAGCCAAGGTTTAGACAGCAGGCTCTGGAGTGACACTGCTTGAGTGGAAATCCCCGCTAATGCTCTGTGATATTGGGCAAGAAATTTAACCCCTCTGAGCCTCAGCTTCCTTATCTGTAAAGTGGGGATAATAATAGCACCCACCTCCTGAGGTTGTTGTGAAAATGAACGACCGTCCTGGGAAGGTCTCTAGCACCAGGGAAGTGCTCAGTAAGTCTGACTTCTTATAGTCTGGACTGGTGATGGGAACCCACTCCCTCCCAAGGCATGCTATGATTATTCTTCCTCTGACCTGTAGTCTCTTCCTCCTCCACTTCCCCAGTGATCCTGGTTTTGGGGTCCCCAAGACCATCCTCTTTGGTCTCCTCCCCTCAGCCACACCAGATTCGTCAGTCTTCTTGTCATTGTGCAGGAGCCTCTGCGGGGAGCTCTCTGGGGACCTGCTCTGGTCTCCCTCTGCCTGCTGTTCCCCGGGGGACCTCCCACTTGTCACCCCTGCTCCAGCGGACTCTTCCAATTCTGGGATTTACAAACTCCCCTCTTGCAAGGCTGGTCCCCTCCCAGTGCTCCACCTGCTCTGATCCTTGGCACGAGTCACGAGTCCCACCTAAAGAGGTGGGACCTCTGCTCCACCAAACGCACGCTCCTCTCCTCCTTCCAAACCCCTGAGGAGACCTCGCCTCATCCTGGAAGTCCTGGCTGATCCCACCTTCCCAAGCGGCAGCCAGGCCGGCGGTGCTTTTGAGCTTGTTCCCTGTTACTTTGCGGAGATCTCCAGAGCACTGAGTGGGAGTGTAGCTTCCTGACCCCACCCCACCCTCTGTTTCCCTCCCGTTCTCCATGGTGCCCAGTGCCCAGTGCCCAGTGCCCCACGCAGGGGTTTCTGGGACCAGGTGGTGGCGGAGCATCTGGGGGCACCCCGTGGGTCCTCGCGGGGTCTCACTCACCAGAACAGACGAGGGCCAGAGCTTGGCCACCCTCATAGGGGGAGACTTTTCCGAAGCACTGCTCCAGAGAGGCGCAGCTCGCATTCTGGATCTTCCATCGAACGGGCAAGGGCTTACTCTCCCCTGGATCTTGGGTCCTGGTCGTTTGGGCCTCCGGCAGATGCTTCAGGAAGGAGCCACACTGGAGGGCCGCACAGATGCGGTTCTTCAGGTCCTGGGTCCCGTCCTGGTCCTGCGCCTCGTAGCCAACGGCGCCCCCCAGGCTGCCGTAGTAGAACTCCACCACGCCGGCGCAGCGCAGGCCCTCGGGTCCGGCCACCAGCTGCAGCCTGGGAGGAGCTGTGGAGGGAGAAAGCGGGGAGCGGGCCTGAGGGCTGCCCGGCTGGCCGTGGGGGGCCTTCCTTGTCTGGTTCCAAGGAAAGACAGGTCCACAGCCGGTGGGAGGTCGTGAGCTCCCAAACGTTGCCTAGGACCTACTTATGACTAAATTTTTTCATGTTCACTTGAAATTCCAGTGCAACGGGGCATCCCGGGTTTTTATTTGCTAAATCCCGCACCCTGGCGCCAGGAACCTCAGAATTCTTACCTGTGGGCTCTGGAGTGGTGGTGGGTGGGGGGCTTGTGGGAGGAGGTGTTGTCTTCCTTGGCTCTGCAATGAGATACTCTGGTGAGGGAGAGGCAGGAGCCCTGGGAGGGAGGACTGGAGGTTGGGGGGAAAGAAGGCGGGGTCGGGGGGGAGGGCTGGGGTACCAGACAGTTTGGAGAAAGACCTAGAACGCGTGATGTAAGTGCCATTTGCCCCATTAGGCCCACTTGGTCCACATTGTCTCTAAGGGTCCCGTGGGGTGGGCAGCACCAGCCCATTTTACCGTTGGTAAAGTGAAGGTTAATAGGAGACGGGAATGTTAGCAATGGCAGAACCAGGTTTTCGACCTCTTCCATCCCCTCCCCCCCGGCAGGTGCCGGCACCCCCTCAGCCCTTCCCCTCCAGTTCCCCACCAGTATACGTTTCTGAGGGGGGGGATTGTTGTAAGTCAGGACCCCCTTCCACCTGCCGGCTCAGGCCCCAGATCCCAGGTCCTGGGCAGCCTCCCCGGGGGCTGGTGCACAGGCCCAGGGGACCCGTGTGGCCGACTCGTCACCCACCTAGGCAGATCAGGCCCAGAGGGCTCCTCTGGTTGGCCTCACTGGAGGTGCAGTTGGAGAAGGACCCCAGGTGTCCATGGCAGGTGACCAGGGCCTGGGGACTGTCGAAGTCAGGGAAGTGGGCCAAGACCAAGGCGTCCCCGCAAGAGAGGCTCCGGCAGAGCTTCGAGGCCTGCCTGGGGTCCTCCCAGTGGTTCGGGTTCTGTCTCCAGCTCCACCTAGACACTCTGCGCCATGTGGACCCGAGGAGGACCTCCAGCTGCCCTTGGCACGGTGACCTGGAGCCTGTCAGTCTCACTGGGTTCCCTGGGGGTCAAAGAGGGGTGTGTGTGGGGGGGTCCCCTCCGTGGGAACCCTCCTCTGCCCTCTCCCCACCAGGCTCCCACCCAGCCAGGCTGCCTTCCACCCCGCGGGGCTGCCTGCATGGCTCCCGGGAGCTTTGTCCTTGGGGGCACGGCGGGGTGGGGCTGGGGGGGCTTCCCAGACACTCAGGCGGTCCCCCGCAGCGGGGCCCCAGGGGATGGGGCTGGAGATCTCGGAGCTGAGGGGAACTCAGAGCAGCGGGCAAGGGGGTGCTCAGCACCCCATTGTCCAGCAGGATCGCCCCACTCTGCAAGTTCTGCTTCAGTAGAAATAGGGCCTGTTGCCCGTTTATATTTTTCTCTTTCTGACTTCTCAAATCAGCGCTGTTGAGGTACGATTTAGACCCAGTGAAATGCACTCATTGTGAGAGTGGTCCAGGGGAACCTGACAAACGCATGCATGTCTGGAACTACCACCACACAGCTGGAAAGTTCCTTTGTGCCCATGTGCGACTGATTCCCCTGCATCCAGCCCCAGGTGCCCACTGATCTGCTTTCTGTCGCTAGGGACGCGTTTTGCCTCCTCTCAAATGTTATGTACATGGAATCATGCAAATCATGCAGCGTGTTTGTGTTTCTGTTACTCTCTTTTTCTCGTCTGAGCCCCTTCCCCCGGCATTTGGGTTTTCTCTGCATCGTTGCATGCACCACATCCCTTTTTGTTGTGGAATAAGGTCTCGCTGTGTGGCTATGCCACGATTTATTTATCTAGCCACCATTTGGCTGCTGTGAACAAAGCCGTGTGGAACGTTCGTGAACTGATGTCTGTCTGTGTGGGCACGTGTTCCATTTCTCTTGGGTAAATACCGAGGAGGGGAATTGTTGGATCATAGGTAGGAGCAGGACTAGTGTGATTTTCTAAAGCTCTGTGAAGGAAAAAAGGATATATATATATTTGTATCTGTACAGATTCTAGAAGGAGAGACAAGACAGGAATCCATGTGGTTGTTACCTGGGGTGTTAGGATGGGGGAAAGACTGGGCAGATGGGGGACAGAAATGGAAATGAGGTTCATCACTGTAGGTCTTTTTATATTTTTAAAGTTTTAAGCCAGGCAACTGTATTACCTATTCAAGAATTTTTTTTTTTTTTTTTTTTTTAAATGTAGAAGGTTTTTCCTAGTGATTGTGGGATGGAGGTTTTTCCCTGGTTGGAAAGTTCTGGGCAGGCTACCTTTATCTTTGGGGCTTGGGGCCTAGAGCACAGCGCTAGGGCTTGGCAAGGTCGCTAGACTAGTTGGAGACAAAGGGGGCTCGTCCAACACTTGACATCGGCAGGATGTTCTGCACTTTCCCTCCAGTGAGCAGACTTACTGACTCCTCACCAGGGAAGAGATGTTCTCCCCATTTTATAGGTGGGGAAATTGGGGCTTAGAGAGGACAAAGCACTTGCTAGAGCTCAGAGCTAGGATGCCACCGCAGGGCTCTAGGTCCTGGACAGGGCCCACCAAGGCCCCTGCGGCTCCTTCTGTTTGCACATGGCTTCTGAGACCCTCTAGCCACATTTCCCCCCAAACACATTCAGCATGATGTTATCTCAAGAAATGTGAAAGAGTGAGGTCTAGGGAGAGATGAGTCTGAGAACTGCTGAATTAAAAATTACCGAACAGGTTTCTTCACTGTAGGACTTCTCAGAGCCTTTTCCAGGCCGGTAGACACAGTCAGTCTCCAGTGAGGGACGGTGTTGCCTACCTTTTATCCAACACATTCCATGAGCCCTGTTTGGGAAACACTAACCTCTTAAAAGTCCAACCTTGAAGGCAGGGCATTCCACATACTTTACAATCTGGTGCAGCCTCTCTCTACAGCCTCAGCTGCAAATGCATTTGACCGGGGAGATCTGGCAGGAGCGAGTAGGAAACAGGACTTTGCAGGGTGCATTATGGGCCAGTATGTTTTCTCTGCATGGTGAGTGGGTTATAATAGAAATTATCCTGAGAACTAGCATTCAGGCCATTGAGGGCATCCGTCGGCACATGGGCATCTAAATGTATATGTGAGTGTGGGTGTACGAGTCTGGGCATGCTGGGGCTCTCTCTCTGGGGTGGGGTTCACTCTGACAGGTCCCCCTATAGCCTGATGGAATCGCAGCCCTGCCCCCCCATCAGCCCCTGCTCCAGGCCTCTGTATGGCTCTTCCTTACCTGAGTCCTCCCAGTAGGGCCCCCCGAGGCAGGAAGTGACTGCAGAAAGCAGAGAGGAGGGTCAGGAAGTGGAACCTCCCTCCTGCCCCCTACCCCCCTACCCCACCTCACACCCACCCACAGCATGAGCAGTGGCCTCTTTTGCACCCCCCCAATATGGGGTTCAGGGTTTCATACTATACATCAGAACCCCTAGGTGGGTCATGAAACCAATTCTGTGGGTTGCAGCTATCAAATTTTCCCCGTTTTAAAACTTTACTTTTTAAACGAGCATCAGTAAAGTGGATTTTCCTCTGGTGCACAGATCTATGAATATTAACACATACTGGGTGATCACCATCATAGTCAAGGTAACATTTCCATCACCCCCCAGCGTTTCCTCGTGCTCTTCCTTTGCAGTGATAGGTGGCCTTGCCACCATTAATTTTTAAAAATTATGTAGTCATGCAGCCGTCACGTTTTTTACGAAATGAAATGGACGAGAATAGAGAATGTCAGAGTACCCGGTCAGTTGTGAGGATAAGGACCCCTTTCTGTGCATTCGGCTGCAGGGTAAACCCCTCGTGAGCGTTGCTTTCAGTCTAAAAGAGCTTGAACTTCACAGTTGTAGAGAACCAGAGGAATGACCCAGAATGGGAACCCCAGGCATCATTTGCTACTTTCTGATATCCCCAAAGCAGGTTAGGTATGACAGCAATTTATCTTCAACGGCTCAGCTTCTAGAGGAGGAAGTCGAAGCTCGGAGATGGAAGGGGGGGGCCCGAGATAGCGCAGCTGGGGGGCACAAAGGAGTCAGGACCAGAGCCCCAGTGGACAGGGGTCTTGGGGAGCTGGCCACCCCTCTGGTGTGGCTCCTGCCCAGGCCTGTTCAATAGCAACAGGGGCCATTTGGGAAGTCCCGTCTGACTCCGGAGCTGGGGGGGCAAACTGGCTTATTGCGGGGACTCTCATGGAGCACCCCTGTGGCCAGCTCATCTGTGGCTGTGGCGGAGGTCGGATTTGGGTGGGCCTGGGGCAGGGGGGTGCACCTGTGTGGCCTCAGAGCACCCCTGCCCCAACGTTTGTCGCTCAGCTCTGTCAGCTTTGAAGTTGGGGCTCTGATTTCCATCTGTCTGACCCCTGGGCTAGCTTCGCAACCGGGAGCCGGGACAGTCAGGGTGACAACTTTAGGGAGTAAATGGTTCCATTGAAATTGCTTTGGAGAAATTTTTGCCGTGTGTTAAAAAAAAAAAAAAAATAGGTGTGTTTTAAAAAGGCTGTTTTTGCCTGAGTGTTCTGGAGCTGGTGGTAGAATTGTAAGGGAAGACAGGCCCCAGCCGGTCGGCCCTCTCCCCCCAGCCAAGCCTCCTGGTAATAACACTGTGAGGTTTTGGCGTCCAGTGCTCGGAGCTGGGGCCGCTGGTTGTGGAGCTGGCGGGGCCTGGGGCAGGTGCTGGGAGGACGGCTGGGGCGCTTTGCCGGCCTGGGATGCGTGGAGGGCTTGCCACTTCTCTTTCCCACTCGAGACCTTCATACTCCCCAGGTCACCATGGTCAATGTTCATTATTAACAACAGCTACCAATTATTGAGCACCTACTGTATACTTGGCACTCAGGGTGGCTCCTGACAGATATCACTGTTACTCTTCCACACGGCTCCGTGATGTGAGTTGAATATATTCATGGTGTAGACGCTGGGAGAGGGAGAATGCCCTGTCCAGGGGGACACTGCCAGCAACAGCCAGGGCCTGGATTTAAACCGTGAGTCTGCCTTCCAAACCCGTGCTCACTGCCACCTCGTTGTGCCTCCAGAGCGCCAAGTTTGGGGATGCAGAGATGAACGCAGCCTAGACCCTGTCCCCGAGGGGCTTGAGCCCCTAGACATTGGAACCCCCGGGGGCAGGGGCCAGACCAGACCATTCTGGCAGATCTCACACAGGATGGCCCAGGCCCCTCTCAGACAACGTTCTTGGGAAAGACTGAACAAGCTGGAGAACCAAGTAAAATCCCCAAAATGCTTTGTTGAGGAAGGGCGTCTGGTATCCCAAGTCTTTGCCTCCCTCTGGGTGCCTGATGTCCTCGGTGGAGCAGCATTTCCTGGCTTGTCCTTCCTTCACCATCACCATCACTGTCACTGTCACCAGCATCACCATGACTACCGTCACCATGACTATCATCACTACCATCATCACTACCTCCATCAGCCTCACCATCATCACCATCACCGTCACCATGACTACAATCACCATCACCATCACTACCACAGTCACCATCACTACCACCGTTCCTAGCACCATCAGCCTCACCTTCATCCCCATCACCATGACTACCGTCACCATGACTATCATCACTACCTCCATCAGCCTCACCATCATCACCATCACCATCACTACCACGGTCACCATCACTACCACCATCCCTACCACCATCAGCTTCACCTTCATCCCCATCACCATGACGACCATCACCATGACTACCACCATCAGCCTCACCATCATCACCATCACGATCACTATTACCTTCAACAACACCTGCACCGCCTTCACCATCGCCACCATCACCATGTTGATCAGCCTTACCATCAGCCTCACCATCACCATCATCACCACTGGCAACACTTTTAGAGTTCACATTTACCCGGGCGTTTTTATATGTTAACTCTCTCAAACCTCACCATAGCTCTATGAAATAGGCCCTATCGTTTTTTGTAAGATTTATTTATTTCTTTTAAAGAGAGAGGAGAGAGCATGTGCGAGTGAGAGGAGGGGCAGTCAGAGAGGGAGAGAGAATCCTCAAGCAGATTGCCCATCCATCACAGAGCCCAGTCACACGACCCTGAGATCACGACCTGAGCTGAAACCGAGAGTCGGATCCTTAACCAACTGAGCCACCCAGGTGCTCCAGTAGGGCACTATTATTTTGATCTCCATTTTATAGTTGAAGAAGTGGAGAAAGATGAACTAAGCTGCTAAGCAGCAGGTCACTGCTGGGGCTGGGACTCAGAGCCAAGCCATCTGTCACAGACTCTATGCTCTTGACTGCTGGGCCAAGCTGCCTCCCCTTCCTTCACCAACTCCCTGCATGTTCATGGAGTGCAGACCTGAGGAAAGGGAAGGACTTGGAATTCCGTTCAGTTAGTGAAACATGCCATGAGGAGCCTTTTCCACGAACTTGCTCTCTGTGATCTTGGCAAGTCGCTCAACCTCTCTGGACTTGGTTTCCTCATCTGTACAATGAGGAAGTTAGACGCCCCGATCCCTCACCTTCTTCTCCGTTCAGACTTCTCTGATCTATAACCTTTTGGTTCCTGATATATCTCAGTGGCTGGCAGGGGCCGGGCAGAAGTGGAGGTGAGATGAGTGACTGACTCCGAGCCTTCTGGATGCTTCTTCTTTCTGTCTGTCCAGAGATATGCTCAGGTTTTCATTGTCCGAGACATATTTTCATTCTCTCAGCTGCTCCTCACAGGGGTGCAAACCAGCGGCCTCCTTCCCTGGAACCCTGCGGACTATGCTCAGGTTCTCTCCGAGACTGTCCGGGGCTGCAGCTCAGCCAGCCCTGCATGCAGCCCGAGGCCCCCAGCTCTGCTGTGGCGGGAGCTGCAAACAGAAGGCTGGAGACCCTGGGGGCCACGAGGGACGCGGGGCTCGGATGCACTGTGCCATTTCCTAATCTGCCATCCACAGCAGCAGCCGCGCAGCTGGGGCCAAGAACGAGAATCCTCCAAAGGCCCCTTCTCTCCGCTGCCAGCCTCCCCTCGGACCCCCACAATTTCGGGCTTGGAGTGGCTGAGCCCAGGCTGAGTGCAAGGCCGAGAAAGCCCGAGAGACCTAGGAGGCGTTTCGCTCTCCTGGCCTCTCTCTTCACCCCCCCATTTACAGAGACTCAGCCATTCCGACCCTGCTGTGCTGGCAGGTTCTCTGTGAGGAGTGCAAACGTTCCTGAAGGCAGCCCCAAGACGTTTATACCCTCACCCCGCCCCCCCCCCCCCCCCAGTCCTCTTGCCCCCCAACATTCCCGGTGAGTCTCGCTCTGGTTCTCGGTGCAGCAGTACGGTAGGTTGCATCAGGCCCTGGCTGGGTTGTATTTGCTCTGCGTGGCGCTTAACATTTTTTCCCAGTCAATTAAAAAAAAGAAAAGGTTTCTTTCTGTTTTGCTTGA